TTATTCATTTATCCATCGATGGACACTTGGGCTGTTTCCATATCTTGGCTCTTATAGATAATGCTGCAGTGAACAGGGGGGGTGCCTGTGTCTTTTCAAATTAGTGTTTTCATTTTCTTTGAATACCCAGAAGTGGAATTGTGTTAGTACTATTTCTAATTTTTTGAGGTACCACCATACTGTTTTCTGTAGTGACTGCACCAATTTACAGTCATTCCAGTAGTGCACAAGGGTTTCCTTTCCTCCACATTCTCTCTAATACTTGTTATTCTTGTCTTTTTGAGAATAGCCGTTCTAAGAGGTATGAGGTAATATCTCATTGTGGTTTTGATTTGCATTTCTGTGATGATTAATGATATTGAACATCTTTTCATATACCAGTATGTATATCTGTATGTCATATTTGAAAAAAGTCTTTTCAGATCTTCTGCCCATTTTTATTTTATTTTTTTCTTTTAAAGATTTTATTTATTTATTCATGAGAGACAGAGAGAGAGAGAGAGAGACAGAGACAGAGACAGAGACAGACACAAGCAGAGGGAGAAGCAGGCTCCATGCCGGAGCCCGATGTGGGACTCCATCCCGGGTCTCCAGGATCACACCCCGGGCTGAAGGTGGCACTAAACTGCTGAGCCACTTGGGCTGCCCCTTATGCCCATTTTTAAATTGGATTTTTTTCGGTCATTGAATTATAGGAGTTCTTTATATATTTTGGATATCAACTCTTCCCAGATGTATGATTTTCAAGTATTTTCTCTCAGTTAGTAGGTTGCCTTTTCATTTTACTGATGATTTCCTTTACCAAACAAGAAACTTTTTAGTTGTATGTGGAAGTTTTTTTTTTCTCTTGTTTTGTTTTATTTCAGTCCTGTCCCTGTTTCCCAGAAGTAGATGGCTATTTGATATACAACCCAAAACACTCTTGAAATTGATCATGTTAACATTCAAAAGTATCTCATTTCTTTCTCAATATATTAAGTTAAAAGAAAAAAAATTACTGGGTTTATTTCATCACAGGAAAAGCATCTTTACTAAACAACAGGAAAAAATTTGTTAGGGATCTGACCAAATACACAAAGCGGTAGATACGATTCCTATTAGAAAAGGATGACTCCTAAAGGAATATAAGTAGCTACCTCCCAAAGTATATACATTCCACACAAGTATGAAAAGCTCTTCTTCTCTCTCCCCTCCCCGCCCTCCAACACATATGACATTACATTTTCATTCCTTTGAGGGGAAAAATAAATGCAGAAAAGCTATGAACTCTTATTAATTCAGATTCTACTAGTGTGTGGTTTATATTTAGGTAAGTGCTAAAGTTCTTTTTTTATACTTTGCAAATCCCTTTGTCACACATATGAAACCAAATTTGGGCAAGACTAATTCAGTAAGACTTTCTGGAAGAGAAATAGCTATTTTAGTATTCACGTGGATTCTTACATTAGTAATAGATTTAGACTGACAAAGGTGAAGGAAAAGCTTTAACAAGTTAGGTGTAAGAGCCCACAGCAGTTGGCACAGGCTGCACAGTAGCTTTGTGGGAACACGTTGAAGTTAGGGGCGACTTGGCAGAGGGCATGAGGTGATGCTGGGTGTGGATACTGGCTGGAGTGGGAGATGTGGTGGTCTTTGCCCTGGCTCAAGCACATATCCCCTTTACCTGTGCGACAGCCAGTAGCCTGTGTTGTTATTCCTGAGTCTGTTTATGCTCGTTCTTTCTCTCCTGTTTATTCCTTCAAATGCTACCAGAATAACTTTTCTAACATGCTGAATGGACTTTCCATGCTTTGGCAATATTCACTTTTGAATCCCCTATGTTTAGTAATAGCAGGTAATTAATAAATGTTTGTGAAATTTGAAGGAATTTTGGAAATGATAGGCATTTAATGGGAATTATCTATTATCTGTTTCAAAAGGGAACAGAAAAAAAGTCTTATAGTAAAAGAATTTGGTCTTTAAAAAAAAAAATCACCCCAATACAAATAGTCCTGATTTTTAAAAATAAGTAATAAATCAGAGATTCTAAATAAAAAGGTCAGGATTAATATTTTATGAAGTTTTGTTTGCTGTTAAATGCAGCTTAAGTGGTGACATGAAATGCAAACCAGAAATAAACTGCTCTTGCTTTCTAATGAAGAAGTGTCTTATTTGAAAGTAAAGATATGATGCTGTGCTGAGTCAGGTCTATCCTGGGCCATGTGATGCTTAAGGCTATTTCTACCCAGAAGCTACATCTGGAAGCTTTTTCAGTCTTTATTGTGTCTGGTAATATTATTGCTGTTAGAAATAAAGGTCTGGCAACTCAGAGGCCTCTTAGTTTAAAATATGAGCTAACATGATGTCACTTATTTTATCTATTTGTACTATAGGTAATGTACAGCTAAAATTCTCTTGACATTTGTTAGGGGAAAGATGACTTCTTGCAAGGGATGGTGATTAAGGGAAGGCTTCATTAGGGAGAAGGGATTTGAGTTAGGTCTTGAAAGATGAAGACAATCTGGTCATTTAGAGATGGGGAGAAAAACTGTGTCCTATAGGGAAAAGATTTTGAGCAAAGGCAAAGATGTGTATATATAGTTAATCTTATTTCCACTATATATTTCAGAGAATCTTTTCAAAATATCCATGTGCTGTACCCCTCCTTCAGTTAGAGAAGTAATAGTATAACATATTTGTAAAGATTGTTGAGCAAGCGAAGTAGTTTGGGAAAAATAGATTGGGACGGAATTATGGATCATTACTCTGGATCAAGGAGTTTGGACTTTAGACTTTATTCTGTAGGCAAACTGCAGAACTACTGAAAGCAGCATAATTTTTGGTTTAAGAATAAAATGGGAAAATGAGGCTGGCATTATCTAACAATTTTGGAAGATTTTTAAATTTTAGGGAAAAGGTTGAAGACACACATATTAGGGTACCTTACTACAATAAAGATAGAGGGGTGGGGGGGGTTAAAGCATAGTAGAGGTAGAATAGAAAAGCTCTGATTTTTTTTTGTTGTTGTTGTTGTGTCATGTTGGTAGAGTACATAGTCCATTTGAGCCTGGTTTCTTACGTAATTGTTAGGTGGCTGAATTCTTAAATACCTTCAACCTTTGAAATTCTATGTTCTTTCGTTCTTGAATTCTTTGTAAAGGTATATTCTAGCTTAGAGAACTAATGAAAAACATTTAAAATCTAAAGGAAATATTTCCTACTGTGGACTAAGTACTTCTCTATTCATTTTAAGCTCTTTTACTATGTTAAAGAACAACATCTTTTTGGATTATTCACTTTTTACTTTCATTGCATATTAATAATAAATTTATAGCTTTAAAGTGCTGAAGAAACTGGTTAATGGAGAGAAAAATTTTAAAAGCCCAAAAAAGTGTAAAACATGAAAAATGTTTTATGAAAGTGTAAAAAGGTATAAACAGATGCCAATATAAGATATTTCCCAATTTGTTTTATGAAGCCATCATTACCCTAATACCAAAACCAGACGAAGATGTAATACAAAACAACTGCAGACTAATATTACTCAGCAAAAATACTAGAGGAAAAAAATGTCAATATGCCACCCTAGTAAGAGAGATTTTACTGTTTTTAACTGTCTTTGTTTTCAAAATCAGGATTTGAAGAACTGCTACCTCTTCAGATTTCAGCAAGCCATATTCTCTTAGTTCTGTCTTACGAAGGTATTATAAGTACTGCCATCATAGAGAAGTGCTTGTTGGATTCCATCCATACTATATTCAAATTTAATTTTAAAAATGTATTTCAAATTATTTTAAAAATGGAATATTAAGCAATATACGCTCTCAGATGTAGTACCTTTCATTATATTTTGTATACTATGGGATACCATATATAAATTCATGTTTCCAAGTTAAGCTCATTTTTTGCATGTCTTGGAATTAAGTTTTTCATGTCATTTAGTGTATATATTCAGACATTTATCTAATATTTCATTAAATAGAAAGGTTGTAGTTCACAGTGCTTTAACAATAACAACCCAAAACAAAAAATGTGCTCTTTCATAAAGTTGTCAAAGTGAGTATACTACATTTCCCGTGTAGATGAGGATTTTCTTGATATAAAGTAACCAAAACCATGTTCAAAATTGGATATTTTGATATCGGATATTTTGATATTGGATATCAAAGCTGGTATAACTTTAACTGTTATCCATAAACTCCCAATTTAAATCTTTCTTCATCAGAACATTTTTATTGTTCTCACTGCCTACCATCTTAATAAGAAAATGTTGTAAACTTGGTTCAATATAGTAAATATATACTAATTATTGTCTTTACTGCTATATATATATACATATATATATATATATATATATATATATATATATTACATATATATATAGGGGTTCTGCATAACACACCATTTAAGTTTTATGCAGCTGGGATCCCAGAAACTTTTCTTAACACATTAAGTATCCTAATCCATTTTGACTTCACTTTCATTCTCAAAGGATGTTCTGAAAGCCTTTTTTCCCCCATAGAAATCCAATAGCGAAGGGGAGGCTTCCAGCTGAAAAAGTGTTTACTGACTTTAAATAGATCAAATCAGTCTCAGAGATTGCATTGCACAGATGCTGTTGGCTGGATCATAAAGCTGTATGTTTTTATGCCCAATGTAAATATTCTAGTTACTACTTCATAAGTGGTATATGGAAATGAAATACATCTTATTGTAATCTATTTTTGCATATGCAGCAGTTGAGTTGCATGTATGAGACTTTATCAAAAGCAGGCGTGATATGGATGTGTCAGTAGATTGTCTTCTTCTACACTGAAACCTTCGTGGTTGCCCTCGCGTAAGCTAAGTGGAGGGGACCACTGGCAAAGTTATGAGAAAGATGTATTGCAGGGTGGTTGACAGGCAGGAACAGTGAAAGAATCAAATAAGGATTATTGAGTGCCTGCTATGTGTGGATATTTATTAATACATGTTGGAACTTGTTCAAAACAAGTTATATGTCCATTCTGTTGTGTTCATAGGTGATCATGGAGGAAGCACTTTACTCCCACCGAATGTCACAAATGAATTTCCAGAATATGGGACCATGGAGGAAAGTGGAGACGGCCTAAGAGCTTCTCTGGGATTTGATACAGAGTCTCTGTCAGGTGCCCCACGAGGGCAGCAGGAGGTCCAGTTTGTTGATGGCCCCCACTCTAGGCTCAACAACGTTACAGAAGGACCACAAGATGGCAGAGAGTCCCATCCTAGATGTCAGCTCAAGGAACAGAGTTTACAACCCATTGATGATTTGATTTCAACTCTGAAAGCCACAGAAGCCAGAATAGCTTCAGGAACATTACATGCTACAAAGATACTGGAAAAGGATGCTGTTTCTAGTTTTTCAACTCAGCAGGTGGAGGAGAAGCTGGACACTGCCCCTTATAAAACAGAGAGACAGAGAACCAACAAAATATTTCCTGCTGGCCGAGAAAAAGGACCAGATGTACCTCTTTCAGCTGAAGTTACGACTGAGGAGAACTCTTATTCGAGCATCCAGAAGGATGTGACTGTACTGTTAGCTGGAGAGGCTCAAGTAGAGCTTTGCAGGATAACTGATGATGCCAGGAAAGGGGCTTTGCATGTGCAGGGGCCAGCTGGTCCAGCATCCTCTCTGGGGAACCCAGCAGCTGCCCATACCTCTGTAGGTACTGTTGGTTTTCTGAGGGAGATGAGGTCTGATCAAGGTAGCTCCACGGGACGCCCAGGCCGGGTCAAACATGTGGAATTTCAAGGGGTAGAGATATTGTGGACAGGAGGGGAGAAAAGAGAGCCACAACAGCCTGTGGATTTTGAGATTTCACTGGAAAGGACGACCCCTCCTGAAAGCAGAGAGTTTCCCCGAGTGCCAAGCCATCTCATCTCATCTGCTGGTTTGTATAATTCAGTTGGTTTAACTGAGAGTGTTTGGGATGAAACCTGGAGCGCTTCATCAGAGAAGCCGGGAGCTAGCTCAGGGGCATTCTCGCCTCTGCCTCTTGTTGACAGTGGAGAGGATGAAGTCTTCCTAAAGGAAAACAAAGAACATCTTGAGAAGAAACCTGAACTGGAGAGAGACAAGGAAAGGTGAGCTCCCATAGCCAGTCTGCTCTCTGTGATGCCTGATATGCATCATGGGCGACCTTTATCCTGTGCTTAGCTGTGAGAACTCCACACAGTACTCTGGTCCTTGTACAGTGGGAGAGGAGTTCCTGTAAGCTAGATTGGTTTTAAGTCTGTAGGTTATGTAAGTGCTTTTGTTATAAAGTTGTGCATTAGCCATCGACTAGGGGAGGCAGAGTTACGGTGAAACTGTGAACCCTAAATCATGTTGATACATTTCTGACATTTTTTATATTTGCCAGGTTTAAAGTTTTCTAGCATCAAGATAACTACAATACCCCACAGTTATCTTTAATAATATGAAGAGATTGGAGTCTTGATGTATCCTATAGTCATATTTTAGACACTTCTTCTGGGTGCAACACCAGTGCCTGCATACAAGCTCCAGACATGTGTGAACACTGAAGCTTTGGGTTCAGGCTGCCTCAATTTCCTGGGTTTAGAAAGGAGGTCAGGAGGTCAGAAGGTGACTCATAGTTCAGCTGTCCCATGGCATTCACCTGAGAATCCCTTCTTGCAAGTAGCATGTTTTGATTTTTAAGCCTGAAAAGTCAACTTATATATATGATATTTTATGATCTTTCCATGCATTTCTGGCAGCTGTACCAGCTTTAAAGTCTTGATAAATGGAAGACATGATTTGTCTTTCTTCACTTCTCTTGATTGCAGTCTTGAGCATGCAGTGCTGCTTTTGTCAAAGTCATTTATTGTGTACTGTCATTCCAGTTTGAATTCCATCAGTCTTCATAAGACCACATTTTATAGATTATGTGCAGGAACATCTGTGTCAAGGCTGAAGGGCTTTTGTGTTTTTTTTTGTTTTTTTTTTTTTGGCGCAAAGAAATGCCTTTTCCTCTGCAGTTAATTAACAAATCCACCTATAGCAATGCTCCTTTAGATGGTTACCAGGATGTCTCTCCTTTCTACTCCTGCCTCCCCAACTCCCTAATACATAAAATCTCTAGACTTCCCTTAAGAGCATGTGGCTCACTAATGATATTCCCACTGGAATATGCACTTATGGATATTATTAATTCATTCCTCCTTTTCTCTCTCTCTCCTCTCACAAATGGTGTTTGGTTGTTCACAGTGTTCTTGACCCTGCTAGATGCTGGGCATAAAAGGATGTTCACAATAGGTAATGGCCTGTGGTCACTACCTTCATGGAGTTTACTGCTGAAGATAAACACTGACCATATAAATAGGTTAATCATAAATTGTGGGAGGTTCTGTGAAGAAGAAGAAGAGAGACATACTGGAAAAAATAAATTCAGTTGATAGCTCTGAGAAGGCCTTTTTGTGGAAATGATAAGTAGGCTGAGGCTTGAGAAATGAGTATGAGTTAACTAGGTGGAGAATGGGGAGAAAACCATTCCAGGGAGGATCAGCACATGTAAAGGGATAACATGCAGAGGAGGGCTGCTGGGATGCCTGACTACATGCACTTCCTAGAGTTGTGTGAAACAAAGGCTTTATGGCAAGTTTGAAGATGTGGAATTCCAGCAGTGTGGCTGGACCACGAGGAGGCCAGGTGGGAGTGGGAAGTGAGTGTGGAGGGGGAGGGAGGAGCTTCCTCAAAGGAACTTCCCCTTTGATTCCATAAGCAGGAAGAAGTTATTAAGAGAGATAAACCCAGGATACTCTTTGGTACATGGTAGACCTTTGTAATTTAAAAACAACAGAGAAAAAAAAAACAAAAAACAAAAACAAACCCACAACAGAGACAACTGTATGGTTGATGTGAATCCTCATAATACCTAGGAATACGGGTACTTATGAGGTAGTTTTTTTTTCCTGTTATTCCTATATCTAGGAATCTGAGGCTCAGAGAGGTTAAGTGAAGTTTTCTAAAGTGACACAGCTGGTGATTGGCAATCCAGCATTCAGCTGCAGCTTTTTCTAACTCTTGATCTCCTCCTTTTACTGAGTTTTAAAAATTTTACATAGCTCTCCTAACATTCATTTTTATTTTATTTTTCTAACATTCATTTTTAATATTTGAACAAAATGCTACATACTAATTAATTGATGCTTCACCCATATATATTAAATTGTAATTTGTTTATAGTTTTTTCACTCTTTTGGTTAGCCTTGCAATTAACATGTCTGTTGGCTTAAAAAAAAAATTTTTTTTTAAAAGGTCCTTCACTGGCTAATTTTGGGCCTGAAATCTCTCTTGCAGTGCTGCCTTGTTGTCAGCAGAGGGCGGCCCTTAGATTCTAATGTATTCATCTTAAAAGCATTTGGTTTTGTTTAAACCAGAAACTATTAATAGACTGATGAAAGTTTAGTGTATTTTACTCCATTAGGTTTACACACTATATTTATCTGTGCCTGTTAACACTGAGTATGACAGTAGCTGTTAATAATTTGAATTTGTGGAGTTTAGTTCATTAAAATGAGAAAATTTAATATTTTATCCAGATATTCATTAGACCAGATTAGTCACATGCTAGGAAACTAGTATGAAACTAAATAAATTATTTAGAGGGTTATGTAGTAAATGTATGCTAAGAGGTTTCTCAGCCTATGTTTCCATGATAGCTTCCTTTCCAAATATATTAAAATATAACCCCAAAGAGTATAATTGTTAGCTTTACAGAATATTACCTTTTTTATATGGTTGAAATATAGGAAAAAGTAAAAAGAATATTAACCTAATATTGAAATTCTTTATTCTTATTTCCTTTCCAGGATTCTTGAGCAAGAGGAGCACTTTAGGGGAGGAGAAGATGATCTCCTTGGGCATGGGTATGCAGAAGACTCCACTGATGTGTACAGCTCCCAGTTTGAAACTATTTTGGATAACACTTCGTTATACTACAGTGCTGAGTCCTTGGAGACATTATATTCAGAACCCGATAGCTATTTTAGCTTTGACATGCCCCTCACTCCGATGATCCAGCAGCGCATTAAAGAAGGCACTCAGTTCCTGGAGAGGACATCGGTGGCAGGACAGCAGGACATCCTGAGCATCTCAGCAGTTGGTGAGATAGTGATGGGCTGTTCTAGTGAGATCGCCAATGGGCTGAATGACACCAGTGACTCCATCTACACGAAAGGCACCCCAGAGATTGCTTTCTGGGGAAGGTACTAACCCTATTCTCATTACTTTCATGCAGTGGTTTTGGTGTCATTTTCTCTTTGGGAAATCTGAGTGTGGAATATGTCTGAGCAGCATCTGGCCAGTTTCTGCTGGATATAAGTGAATGATGTGAGTAGAAAGTAATTGAGGGGCAGGCAGAATATGCTTTAGCAGTTTGCCAAATTGGCAAAGTGTGGTTATCGCGTTAGGTGACATTTCCTGGATTACCATATGTAAATTGTCGTGAGCAAATATTTGTGGGTGAGGTGGGTGTTAGTTCCCATGGTGCAGCTTTGGTAGCAGTGGTATGGTGCTGTGAAAAGAACACTGAGAGGTGTTGACTTTCGTTTTGGCACTAATGTTGGTTGATGACTTGGAGCAGGTTGCTTGACTAGGCCAGAAATTCCTTAATTGCAATTAAGGATGTTGGGTTAGATGGTCACCAAAGTCTGTTCCAGGCCTTTGCTGTATGAAATCCTGTTCAGTCAGACCTTTTTACTGTTCCTGAGATGGTGGGGGAAGAATCTGATTGTATGAATGCTTGATAGAGCCAGTACCTTGGTCAAAGCTATAAATACAAATATTAAAAAATCGCAATTTCTACATCTGTGAAATTTAGGATTTAAATCTATCTGGGAGATAAGATGACAAGTAATATAGTTTCTATCTGCCATACTGGTCATTTAGTGATTCCCTGTCTATTTATGGATTATCCAGCATTTCATTTCTTCTTCATCATCCTCAGGTCACTTACCTATCCTTTAGCATCTTTATCAGTGGGCAGGAAATTCTAAACTTCTTAGCGATTTTCTGAATTTAGTTTTTTATTTAATTTACTTGAATTAAAGTGTATCAGTGCATGTGTGTTGGGAGAGGGGGAGGGGAGGTTAAATGGGGATAAACTATTTTAAAGCTGTATGAAAAAGTGTCAGTGCTTTTTTTCAGTCAGTATTCATGTTACAGGTTTCCAGCGAACCTCTCTGTGTGAGCAGACTGTCTTATGTGGAGCATTTTCTATAATTCGTTGAATGAACACATTTAAGACCAGCGTGTTATAGCATTGTAGCTATGCATTTCCATGTGAAATGGACCACGGATGTTGATTATCTTCTTGGGTCACTAGTGAGATAATGAAAAAATATTAGCCTTAAAAGTAGAAGACCTTGGTCTGAATTACTTGGGCAAGCCACTTACTTTCTCTGATATTATTGGCAAAACAGGGTTAATGATACCCAGTATGCTGTGTGGCTATGAAATTTAAAGAATTAATATAGATTTAAGCAACTAGCACAGTACTTGGCACAAAGTAGGAGCTTGAGTAAAGGTGTGAATCAGAATTGGCTTGGCTGCTAAGTCCACATTTAGGCTTCCTGCATCTCTGAGAGGGGGTATCTCTGGAGGGGATCTTGGAGGGGAAGGTTTCTCTGAGGCAGGTGGCCTCCTCTCAGAGGGGAAACTTTTTGTTTTGCTCATTTATCCTTCTGTTTTACCATCATCTCTGATAACTTTAAGTTGTGATAAAATGCAATAGCATAGGCACGCAGATAATTTTATTAAAATTTCAGTCCACCTTTCTGGGGTGAGTTGAAGTTTATATTACAGACCCAAAAAATAAGTTGGGGAGCCCAAGCATTTTGGGCTGAGAGGCTTTGTTTACAGAAGCTGCAGGGACGGTAAGAAAAAGAAGAGGTGAACATCAGGGAGTCAGATCAGGAAGAAATTAGGTAAAAGGCTTATCAAATGTATGGTTTGTTTACTTGGAATAGGAAGTACTCATCATTGGGCCCAGCATGGGTGCCAGTCATTATTATTAGGGTAGAGTTAGATAGTTAAGAGAGTATTAGGGTAGGTTACAGTATTTTAGCATCTTAGATTTAGACAGCTGTATACTTCAGGCCTTCTCAAGACAAAGCTACAGTACCTGCATTGTAAAACCACAGGATCTTGGCCAGTAGTAAGACAAACCAAGAAACAGACTCGGAACAGTCTGATGGTTACCAGAGGGAAGGTGGGTAGGAGGATGGGTGAGATGGGGAATAAGGAAGGCAGCAGCATTTTCATAACAAAAAAACCCAACGCTAAGTGTTAATATTATGAACCTGAATCCAGGAAAAAAATTATAGCTTTTTCAGGTAAGTTTAAGGAAAGGACCACTCTTTTTGTCTGTTGCACACAGTTTATTTAACAGTATGATTGATAGAAGAAATGATTTGGTACTTTACCATTCTATACAGTGATTGAATCTTCTTGAATTTTCTTATATATAGTAATTACAATGCTTACATGACTTACACTAGAATTGCTTTTCCTCATTCAAGTTTTATATAGAAGAAAGAAAAGAATGCTTCTTCTCTATTAACATTCGCATGGTCTAAGAGAGATTATCCCTATTTTTTCTCTAAAACCAGTTTTATCAGAGAAACAAAGCAACAGTTTCTATATCTGCCAGACAAGAGTTTGGATTAAGCTAGTATGTATAGATAGATGGGTGTGTGTGGGGGGTATGTCCATGTGTGCATGCAGGAGCTAATTCTTGTAGTACAGAGGTAATACCTGGAGAATGCCCACAGAGTTTACTATAGAAAAAAGTCTTCTCACCATGTCATAAAGTCATTGGGATACATTATCAGCTTGCATTACTTCAAGAATCAGTTTCTGAATATTATTTTTCTTCTCACTTTTAAATGTAGGTGTTTCAAGCCTTGAAAATACAAATAAAAATAGGAATATAATGAACTCATTTTTCCTGTTAAAAAAAGTCATGTGTCACCAGCAATGACTACAAAAAGAATCTAAACAAAACCTCCCTACCTCAAAACAAACAAACAAAAAACCAAAAAGAGAACAGATATTTAAATGTACTGGTTTTTAACAAAAAAAAAAAATATTCTTTGTATTGTTTGGATGGATGAGGTGGGGATTAAGGAGCACACTTTTGATGAGTACTGGGTGTTGTATGGGAATGTTGAATCACTATATTGTACACTTGAAATTAATATTACATTGTATGTTAACTAACTGGAATTTAAATTAAAGCTTAAAAAAATAAAATGGAATTCTAGTACTGAATAAGGAGTATTCTTAGAGATGTGCCAGCCAAACTTCTCTCCTAGCCCTGGCACTCTTCCACATGCTTCCTGGCTAGTGGTCATTCTACCTTCCTTGAACCCTGCTGGTGGTGATGTGGTTGGACCTATTTGTGTTCTTTGAGTTGGCATATGATAATAAGTGGTTATAGGGGGAAGAGGTTTTGTTTTATGATATATGTCTCTATTCAGGGTTAAAAAAATAGAGTGGGCTCAATGATCCTAAGAAATTTTAAAGAAACTAGGTAACTTTTACATTTTTCTTTACTCCCTCTTCCTTATTGATGCTTTCAAGTCACAGCACCAGAATTGTAGGTTGAAGAATTATGACATTTTTCAGCTTAAAGGGGTCTTAGATAATCTGGTTTTATGGTAAAGAATCCAAATCCCAGTTTGATGGGATAGATTTACCTCGTGAGAGATCCTGTACCAAAATTACTGTACTAGAATTCAAATTGTCTGACTCCTAGACCAGATACATTCATTGTTCTACGCTGCCTGGTCTCATATCTTTATTCTTTTTCTAAATCTAATTTCTCTCATTCATAAGTCTATAGCATCAGGAGTCTGTAGTTGGTAATTGTAACCAAGTGGTGGTGGTGGTGGTGATGGTGGTGGTGGTGTGTGTGTGTTTAATTTGAGAAAAAATTTGCCAAATTGATAATAAACATGTCTCCATAAATTTTTAAAGTAATCAATGAGCAGGCTTTTAAACATTTCTTCTACATCAAAGCATTCTTCTACATAGGTAAGGAGATAGACTATTGAGCCTGTTAAGGAGATCCAGACTAGAATGCTGACTGCACAATTGTCAACCTGATTGACTTCCCTCAACCAAGCACTCAGAGACAAAGTGTTATAATTCAAGGGGGAAAAATATTCTCCAATTTTATTAATGTTGTGACATTTACATAAGCAAAGTGACAAATAAGTGCACATGTTTAGTATTTTGTCTCTATTCACTGGTCTTGCTGTTTGTTGGCAGTAGACTGGGGGGCTCTGACCATATTAAATAATGAGAATCTGAAGAAGGCTCAAAGGAGAGGGGATGATACCACTAATCATATGACTAGTGACTAATGATATGACTGTCTTCCTGATAATGCTTCTTTGATTCAACTAGACCTGAACCAAGAAATTAAGCCCATTTCTATTGAGGCATTGATGTTATTGTATAAAATGTTAGCTCTCAGCCAATAGAAAAGATTATAAGATTACTTAGAGGTTGTCTTTCAGCACAATTTAATATCAAAGGCATCCTGTAGGTTTTATTTTGTAAACACATGAGTGCGTAATTCTCATAAGAAGCCAGGAGAGGGACGCCTGGGTGGCTCAGTGGTTTGGCGCCTGCCTTCAGCCCACGGCATGATCCTGGAGTCCCGGGATGGAGTCCCACATCAGGCTCCCTGCATGGAGCCTGCTTCTCTCTCTCTGCCTGTGACTCTGCCTCTCTCTGTGTCTTTCATGAATAAATAAATAAAATCTTAAAAAAAAAAGAAGCCAGGAGAAAGGAGCTAGTAATGTTTTAATTTTCCAGGTAAGGTAAATAAGGCATAGCACAGTTGAGTAACTTGATCAAAGTCACACAGGTGGTAAGCAGCACACCCAGGATTTGAACCCGCCAGTCAGGCTCCAGAGTCCATTTATTGTTCGTTTCTAAACAAAAATGCATTTGACACGGCCTAGGTATATTTTAAAATCTTTTTCTACGACAGTACATGCCTTTACTTTGTTGCTAAAGATGATTTCAGTGGCAATATTTGACATGATTTCTTTTGAACGCAGGATGACACTGTTCTCTGTTGTGTTGCTTCTTTAAAGACAGGTGCTAGTGTTTGGAAAAGGTGATGAGGTTGTCCTATTGCTTCAGCAAAACTTAGTTTTGTCTCTCAGGAACACCTTCCAGTTTGGGATTTAAC